CTCAGAGCCTGGAGCCTGTTTCGGAGTCTGTCTCCCTCTGTCTCTGACCCTCCCCTGCTCATGCTCACTCTCTCTCTCTCCTAGAAATAAATAAAAATATTTAAAAAAAAAAAAAAGTAAACGTAAGTGAAAAATGCCTTTGTGCTCAGGGCTGAGAAGTGGGAGGGCACACTTTTCTCTGGGGAGGCGGTGGAGAAGTGTCTTACTGCCTGGGGCCGGTGACAGTGTTAGCTAAGATTTGTCCTCTGGATGCCCCATCCTGGCCCAGAAGGGTTGGTGTCTATACGAGTAGTGAAGACTTTGCGCCCCATGCTTCAGCCTCAGCCCCAGATTTCCCGTGCCGCCTGCATGTTAACACAGGCCTTCTCCCTGACATTTGTCTGGGAACAGCATAAGGAACCCGCTGCCCATTGTGGGTAAGAGGAGAATTACGAGAATGTGACCGGGGCACCGAAACATCTGATATTTGTTGATCTTATTTTTAGGAAGCACAGATACAGTCTTTCCTTTAACTTAAACAAAAATATGTCATGAAAAAATTCCCGCCTGCAAAGGTTCAGAGGTCTTTCCCAGCTAACCTCCTGGGCCAGATTGCGTTTTCACGCCCAGGCGCCAGCATCAGCATTGCTATCTGGAGGGACTCCTCTTGGTAGGAGATGCTTTCATTCTCGCCAGCCCACTCCTGACCTTTGCCCCATGTCCTGCCAGCCTTGCTGTTCCTCACGGCTCCATTTTCTTTGTCTTTTCTTGTAGGTACTGCTTCTCCGAGATGGCCCCCGTGTGTGCAGTGGTTGGAGGGATCCTGGCGCAGGAAATCGTGAAGGTAAAGAGTCCCTGTGGAGCAGATCGTTGGTCCAGCGTGAGCTTGTCAAAGCGCCAGCCAGAGGCATGACTGCCTGGAAGAGCTGCCTGCTTTCTCTGGCCCCGTTCGTGCTCGTTCCTGCCCTCTTTCCTCCCTTCCCTTTTCCTCCTCATCCTGTTCTCCCTCCCATCCAGGTGAGCTTTCAGCAAACGCTCTTCGAGTGTCCGCTCAGTGCTAAGCCCGGGGCTGGGCATAGTGTCCTCAGGTGCCACCTGCCAGCTGCCCCCTAGCTGTCCTGAGGGCTTGCGTGGGGCTTCTGATCCTTGCCGTGTGTTCTGCTTCCATAGCTCTGGGAAGTGGGTGCTACCGTGATCTCCGTGTGAGGGCAGGACGCTGAGGCCCAGAGGTGGGCTCCAAAACCCGTGCCCTCAACTTCTGCTTCACGCGGTGTTTCTCTGTCCGTGACCGTGGCATCGGAGCTCCTTCTCGTTAACGCACAGGCTGTGTTTATTCAGAAGGGAAATTCGGGTTTTGAGTCTCTTCTGGAACATTAGGGTTGTCAGAATTCTAGCATTTTCCCAGATACTTTCTTTGGGACTTAGATACTTGCCCGAAGATGTTGAGTCTGCCTTTTGTAGGCTCTTGACTGCCTTCGTAGATTTGTGGTGACGGTTTGTCCTTTTTGTTCTCGGTGGTGCCTCATTGCACGATCTCCTCTGCTCGTTCTCGCGGCATCTCGAAGCTCAGGGGAAGCGCGTGGAGACCCCGTTCTCGCTACTTTGTCTTGAAGGCTACACATCTGCTCTGGAGACATTTGACAGTTTGATGATCCTACCACCATCTTCTAAAGGCTCTTGTTTCTCTCTTTCCTGATCCTTCTCTCTGAACCAGACACTCTCCTTGAACTCCCCCCTCCTGCTTCATAGGGAGCAGGGCTCGCGCCAGGGAGATGCAGAGGGAGAAGCGAGGGGTGGGGTGGCCACGCTGGTTTCCTCGCTCGTGCCTTCTGCTTCGCCCAGATTGCTGTGCGAATCGCAGCTTCGGTGCCCAGTCGGTCGGTTGGCAGCGGCTGCCCAGAAGCCTGCGCTGAGGATTGGGAGGCTGCCTGTACACAGACTGGCCGGGAAGAGCGAGGGACGGATCCTGAGGGAAGAGACGCATTTCTGTAGCCTGTTACTGTGACAACACGGGAATGTTTATTGAGAGCTCGCCCCGAACCCTCGCACAGACCACATCTTCACGTGCGTGTGCTCTCTTCTCCCCGCAGCAGCCCGAGGAGGCAGGGCTTAGCTGCTCCTGAGGCGCAGGGAGGAGCTGAGGCGCGGGGAAGCGGCGGCGCCGGGAGCCGAGCCCGGGCCGTCTGCTCTCAGAGCCCGGGCCCTTCACCGCTCGGCTGTCCGCACGGACCTGGGGCGCCGTCTTCGTGCCTTTGGCCACACTTTGCACCTCTCACCGAGGCGCTGCTCCCTGGGTGTTTCACATGGGATGGAGATTAGGGGGCGGGCCAGCTGGCCTCGGCTTCCCTGCATCCCGGTCCTCACCTCTGCTGCAGCCCCTCCTTCCTGCCCGCGGGGGACAGCTGTCGCCCGCATCTTGTTTCTGTTTACCCCAGACAGCCAGAGCGCTCTGCATTCCTGGTTGCTGGGCGTGTTTGGAATCTCCCCCGACCCCCTTCTTGCTTGGGAAGCACTTTACCTTTTGCCCCGTGTTCACCCCATGTCTCTACCGCCCCACCCTTACTTAACACAATATTGCCTTCACCCAGCTGGCACCAGGGTCCCGCAGTCTGAGGGCCGCAGACCTCCCCCTTCTCTCCTGAGGACCATCCGACCACCCACAGTAGTAAGCGTGAGGAGACGGGGGGCAACCTAGGTCTCTTCCTTGGAACCCTCTTCTTCCTTCCGTCGTTCCAAACACTACATATTCTGCCCACATCCCCTGTCCCGTCGCGCTGCCGGAGGTGTAAGTCATCCTTCCTTTGTCTCCCACTGTCCCCGCTGGGCCTCCCCACAGGCAGTACTGAAGGTGATGGTCGCGGGTCAGCCATACTGGGCCCCGTTGTATCATCTCCTGTAACTTGAGTTCTGACTGTGGTCTCTTGGGTCCTTCCTTCCACCTCCTCAGATTTTGGTGAGGGATCCCTGGCCCCTGTTAGTAAGAGCAGCTCCCGCTCCTTGAGAATTTATTATGGGCCAGACACATTACAAGCTTGATCGCATTCCATGTTCACCAAAAACTGTAACAGGAGCCGCTATTGACTTGCCATTTGTATGTGAGCGCAGGGGTGAGTCTGTCCTGGCCATGAGTCCTTAGTACCTAGCACGGTGCCCGGCACGGGATAGATGCTCCAGACGGTTCCTGTGGACAGATGGTTGAACAACCACTTGAAGTAGGTATATTTATCCCCATTTTACAGATGAAGAAACAGATTGAGATTAGTGCTCAATTCCAAGAGAAGTTCAAATATTTAGGGCGTGTTCCTAACCTTGTCCTTTATGCATGATGGGCATGGTGCTCCTGGGAACCTTAAGCCCTGCCTAGAGGCTTGCTTGGACAGTGTCCACGTCTTTAAATGGCAACCTTTGGGGGGCCTGGGTGGCTCAGTCGGTTAAGCGTCCGACCTCAACGCAGGTCATGATCACAGTTTGTGGGTTCGAGCCCTGCGTCGGGCTCCGTGCTGACAGCTGGCTCAGAGCCTGGAGCCTGTTTCAGTCTGTGACTCCCTCTCTCTCTCACCCTCCCCTGCTCGCGCTGTCTCTCTCTCTCCTAGAAATAAATAAAAATTAAAAAAAAAAAAAACCTTTGAGAAAACTCATTGACATGTATGAATCCTTCCTCTAGTACACACATGTACACACGATTCAGCATGTGATGTCAGGAGGTCTAGCCCCATCTTTAAAGGTGCTGTGGGGGGTGCCTGGGTGGCTCAGTCGGTTAAGCGTCCAACCTCGGCTCAGGTCACAACCTCGCGGTTTGTGGGTTCAAGCCCCGTGTCGGGCTCTGTGCTGACAGCTCAGAGCCTGGAACCTGCTTCAGATTCTGTGTCTCCCTCTTTCTCTCTGCTCCTCCCCCACTCATACTCTGTCTGTCTGTCTCTGCCTCTCTCTCAAAAATAAAACATTTAAAAAAATTTTTTTAACATGCTGTGTCCTTCTGTTAACCCACAAGAGGCTCCCCAATCCCAGGGCTGCATAGCACCTCCCAGGCCTCCGGCTCCCAGCCCCGGGCCCAGTGCAGAAGGTGGCAGGAGGCATGTCTCCTCACAGGAGTGTGTGGCCGCACAGGTGATGAGGGCCACCGCCTCTCTCAGGTGGACAGTCCGCAATAGCTATTGCTGCCCATGGCCAGCAGGCCGGCACGGGGGGCGTGCGTGCGGACAGGGGGGTGCAGCGTCCCTCTTCATGCCCGCGCCGGGCCAGCTGCTGCTTGCATTTCCCACGGGAAAGCGGGCTTCGGCGAAGCTGCCGATCTGTCCGGAGAACCACGGTCGATAAGGGACATTGCAGAGAGACCTGGCGGTCACAGTAATGTCTCAGACGGGGCCCGTTAGCCCCTGGGGAGCAGACTCCAGCTCTCTTGAGAGCCCAAACTGCTAAGTTTAAGAAGACCTGGTGCTTGAGGCTTTTTCTTTATCTCGCCCTGTCATCCCTTGAAAGCATCTGAGCTGAGCCCTCTTGTTTTTCTCCCCAGGCCCTGTCTCAGAGGGACCCTCCTCACAACAACTTCTTCTTTTTTGACGGCATGAAGGGGAATGGGATCGTGGAGTGCCTCGGCCCCAAGTGAACCGAGACCCGGCGGCCCCGGGGGCGCTGACCCGCAGCCTGCCCCGCGTCCCCGGCCCTTCCCCCAACGGCAGCGGCTCCAGACGAAGGAAAAGCCCCAGGCCTCGGGCCGGACCGTCTCCTGCGAGCAGCGAGGCTGTGCAGACGTGCGACTTGCAAGCGCCAGCAGCTGCTAAGCGCGGGGACCGGCTGGCCTCACCCCGGCGCCGTTGGCCGGCCACCACCCGAGAGTCCCCCGTCACGCGTCCCTCTGTCCAGGTGCCGCTGCGGTGTCACCAGGCCACCCGTAGCCCCGCAGGAGATGCCCACCTGGGCCCAGAGTGCCTCATTGCTTGGGATCCTCTCGCCACGTCCTTGGACTTGCTCCTGCCCGATGTCCCACAGAGAAGAGCACGCGGGCTCCAGGTGGGGAGTGAGGCCGGGCCCCGCGGGACGCTCGTTGAGCCACAGCCCCGAACGCAGGCAGGTGCCCCAGAGAGGAAGCGACACGGCCGGCGGGATGTATTTCCTCCAGAGTTGGGGACCCCGAACACTGGCAGGTGCCGTCTGGCATGCTGCTCTGGGGCGCCAGCTCAGGCTTCGCGGGGTTTCAGCCGGGAGTTTGGAAGAGAGGAAACGTCACCAAAGTTCCCTTGGGCATTAGGCCAAGACCTTGCAAAGCGGATAGTAGTGGGAAAGCTTGTTTTAAAAAGGCAGATTCCACGGTCCCAGCCCCTGGGGGTTCTGATTTACTGGGGCCCAAGCTAGCACGTGAGGGCCCATCCCCGCAGAGCCCCACCCCCAACACGGCTCAGACCGGCCTGGAGGCTGTTGCTTTCAAGGGCCGTGTCAGCCCTTCCTCCCCCCACCCCAGAATCGCAGCTGTTTGTGTGGTTTTTTATATTTTCTATATTTTCTTGGTTCTTTAAAAAGGAATGATAGAAATAAAGTTATTTGCTTTATTTGTTGTTCTTCCACATTACAAACATCTTCCTGTGACAGGGAGTGATCCTACCAATTGCTTTTTTTAACCTGAAGAAATCTCACAGGATGCTTCAGTGTGATTCAGAGATTCCTCCCCTCCGTCGTCATTCCTGTCGCTGGTTTCCTGGTAATGCAGCAAGAGTTAGATTGCTCAGAGTCTAGAGTGCATAGAAGCTTCTGGTTCCACCTGTCGAATAATTCAGGTCAGTGGTGGCTATTCTCAGTGACAGGAATTATATTAGTGGGAAAGAAGGAAAAGGTGATACCGAGGCTGCTGCTCTTGTGTGCCAGGTGCTGTGCAGACTCAGTCACAGTGGCTTCATTTTAGTTTTTAAAGTTTATTTATTTTGAGAGTGAGAGAAGGAAGGGGGGAGCGGCAGAGAGAGGAGAGAGAATCCGAAGCCGACCCTGTGCTGTCACCACAGAGCCTGATGCGAGGCTTGAACTCACGAACCATGAGTTCATGACCTAAGCCAAGATCAAGAGTCAGATACTTAAGCTGCTGGGCCAGCGGGCACCCTGGCTTCAGTGTAACATTCCGTGGCTGCTAGAGGTCAGAGCTTCCGTTGGGTCAGACACTGGCTTTGTGTGGACTTGGTAGCCTGAGTATGTCCCACTTCTCGTCCCCCTCCCTGGGTTTCTCCTTAATGTAGGAGCGTGTGAGGTGGGAGCCTGGCCCATTTGAACGAATCAAATCAGCTCCTTTCCTACTTCCATCCTGCTGCCGGGACAGAACAAAAACACGGTCTCCACAGGGCGGAGGAACTCCATTCCCTGACCCTCCGGTCACCTCTGCCCATCCCTGAGTGCGGCGAGGGCTGTGTTTCTGGAGGGGCCCCTCTCTGGACCCTGTCTGTGTCAAATCAGGGGCACCAAGGTCAGTGTTTTTATCAATGTGTGAATCTCCCCCTTTCTTGGAAATGAGCTTTGCAATGTGGGGCCTTGGTCACAAGGGGGAGCAGGTGCATCTGGATGGAGAAAAACAAAACTGTCATCCTAGAAGCTTCTGAAGCTTTTCAAACTTTTCCACCTCTGTATGTCTCGTGTAGAAATTGAGTCATCCAGAACGGACCCCTCGGGAATCTGGGGGTGGTGCTGGAAGCTGCCAGCCCCAGGCAGAAATGTCTTCTTGTATCTTCAAATTTCATATTCTCCCATGTTACATGATAGTCTTACCATAAAAATGGATCTCCCCAAGCCTCAGCACGGTGGTTATCCTGTGGTTTCTGATCCCTCCAGGAGATTTCTAGCCTCCTTGGGAAGGAGGATGGAATCTGTAAAGTTGCGGGCACCTGGGTGGCTGTCGGTTGAGTGTCCAACTCTTGACCTTGGGGCAGGTAGTGATCTCACGGTTTGGGAGTTCAAGCCCTACATTGGGCTCCATGCTGACAGCCCAGAGCCTGCTTGGGATTCTTTCTCCCTGTCTCTCTCCCTCCCACGCTCAAAATAAATGAACTTTTTTTAAAAATGTTTTTTTAATCTGTAAAGGTGACAAATACTTTGGGATGCAAGAGTTACCAAATGAAAGGAAGTGGGTTAACTTTGGGCTGCCAGGTTTCTCCACTCCACACCCCACTTCTGTTGTTTGTGGTATGTGTAGTAGCCAAATTCTGTTAAGTGCTTAATGTGTTGAAGCCTCAGAACATTCTAGTGGAACAGGTGCTACTCAGAAAAGTAACACATGCAAAGGTAAAAAAGTACAACAATAAAAAGCTCTCGGTCCCATCAGAGCCCCACATTCTGTGGTTTCCCTTTGCAGTACAGACCCTTTTTGTCAGTTTCTGGCTCTGTGTGTGTGTGTGTGTGTGTGTGTGTGTGTGTGTGTGTAAAGCCAAGCATGTCTGTCTGGTGAGGTAGGTGTGTGTGTGTGTGTGTGTGTGTGTGTGTGTATAAAGCCAAGCATGTCTGTCTGGTGAGGTGTGTCCGGCTTGCCCCTTTCAGATGGGGAACGGGAGGCTTAGGCCGCAGGTGGTGGGTCAGAACAGCCTGATGGTGGCCCCACACTCACTGCTGCCTGCCTGGAGCCCGCAGCAGCGCCTGATCCCCACAGCAAGCCCAGGGGGTGGGTGCCCCCAAAGGGTGGGTGCCCGTGCCGCAGATGAGGGCGCAGCCTCCTGCAAGTGAGGGCCAGAAAGTGGGCCGTGGGAAAGGCTTCTTCGCAGGACACTTAGCAGACATCCGTCTAGTGGCACCGCTGCTTGTGACTGACTCGAGCTTCGCCTTCACGAGGCCCTGAGACCTAGTAGTGATCACCATCAGACAGGCCCCGTCTTGAGGGGGGCCTTCAGCTCAACCCAGAAGGACGGGAAGATTGTGTTTTTAAGCTTGTGGGAAAACATTCAAGCACCACACATACAGGGGTGAAGAGTTGTCATCGCCCGGGTTGCCCTGCCCCGCCCTGCCCCTCCCCCTGCCTCAGCTCTCCGTTGGCCACGCAGCAGGAGCAGCTGACTTAGAGCCAAACTCAGGAGTTTGGAGAGAAATGTGAGGTGCTTTTCGCCTATGTTATAGCTGTGTCCACTTTCATATCTACCTCCCAGAGGTCACCCTTGGCAGCCTCGGAGAGTGAATCCCTTCCAGATCGGCAGGTTTAAAATTTTTTTTTTAATGTTTGTTGATTTTTGAGAGAGAGAGAGACAGTGTGAGTGGGGGAAGGGCAGAGAGAAAGGGAGACCCAGAAGCCGAAGCAGGCTCTAGGTTCTGAGCTGTCAGCACAGAGCCCAATGCAGGGCTCGAATCCACAAATTGCAAGATCATGACTTAAGCTAAAGCTGGACGCGAAACTGATTTGCACCACCCAGGCCCCCCTTTTTAAAATTGTTTTCAGGGGCACCTGGGGGGCTCAGCCGGTTAAGCGTCCAGCTTCAGCTCAGGTCATGATCTCTCGGTTTGTGGGTTCAAGCCCCGCACCAGGCTCTGTACTGACAGCTAGCTCAGAGCCTGGAGCCTGTCTTTGGATTCTGTGCCTCCCTCTCTCTCTGACCCTCCCCTGCTCACACTGTCTTTCTCTCTCTCAAAAAAAAAAAAAAACAACTTTTTTAAAAAATCAGACTGGTAGGTTTAAATGCAGACTACCCCTTAGCTATGTGACCTTGGACAAGTGACCTTTTTGTGCCTCCATTGCCCCATGTGCAAAGTGGGGTAATAGTACACATCCTCTGATAGGTAGGGATTGAATGAATACATTCTTTGAATGGGAATGTTATTTACTATTACTCACACGTAGAAAGAACTTTTTCTGCTGCTTGCTGTCTCTCACTATGTCCTAGAGATCCTTGTCAGTGCATTGTGCGCAGAGTTCCTAAACCACAGGTGAACCGTAAGCTCCTTAATCAGTCTGCTGTTGAGTGACATTGAGCTGGTTTCCTTTGGACACACTTGGGAAAGACTCCCCGAAGCCTGGTGCCACAGCGTGCGTAGATGCGCCCGAGATGTCGGTTCCTTCCAAGAGGCTGCAGTGTGGCAGCATTTCACACACCATTTGTTGTTTGGAGAGGTCATCCAGGCTTGCAGTGCAGAACTGAAAGGTTCACAAAGACTCCCCAGTCCTGTTTTTTCCTAAGGAAGCCCCCATGGCAGGGTGGGGTTATCGGAAGTGGGTGGGGAGCGCCAGTTCAAGTTCGGTATTAGCTTGCTAGAGGAGGCACAGCCCGCTAGTGGCAAAGGCTCAGCTCTGGACCTCACTCGCCAGGTGCTCCGAGCCTCAACTCTGCCAAGTTGCAGGACTACTCAGCACCTTGGTTCCGAGAGAGAAGACCACAGGAGGTGACTTTAGGTATTTCCTTTCCCTGTGGAACAAGTGAGCCACCTTTTGTTTTATGAGGAGCGCTTTGGACTTTGCTAATAAGATGTGGCCGCCTCTGACTTTGTCCCTGGGCCCCTTACTCTCTATCTAACCTGGACAGTTAGGATTCCCCAGTCCCAATCCTAAAAAGTGATAACTAAGGTCTTTTACAAAGAAAATACCCGGACGCCTGGGTGGCTCAGTCGGTTAAGGATCTGACTTCCGCTCAGGTCATGATCTCACGGTTTGTGGGTTCGAGCCCCACGTCGGGTTCTGTGCTGACAGCTCAGAGCCTAGAGCCTGTTTCAGATTCTGTGTCTCCCTCTCTCTGCTCCTCCCCCACTCGTGCTCTGTCTCTCACTGCTTCAAAAATAAATTTAAAATTTTTTTCAAAAAAAAATACCAGGGCACCTGGGTGGCTCTGTCAGTTAAGCATCCAACTCTTGATTTGGGCTCAGGTCATGATCTCGCAGTTCGTGGGCTCAAGCCCTGCATCAGGCTCTGCATTGACAGTGACAGCCTGCTTGGGACTCTCTGTCTCTGTCTCCTTCTCCCTCCGCCCCCCTCCTGCTTGCTCTTTCTCTGTCTCATTCTCTCAAAACATTAAAAAAAAAAAATACCAGCAGTTCTGCTTATGATATGATGGATTAAGTTTCCAACAACCACCTCCCTGCAGAAAACTATATACTCTAGACAAAATACCAAAGATCAAAATGAAAACATAACTACTGCAAACCTCAGGAGAGTGCTCAAAAGCAGGTGGGTGGGTTTGGGGAAGGGAGTTGAAAGTTGCAGCAAGAGCCCACCACACTCGTTTTATGGGGTGGGTGGGTGTGTGTGTGTGTGTGTGTGTGTGTGTGTCTGTCTGTGTGTGTTTTCCTAGAGTGTTAGCTGAGGGCAGGCTAAAACTCAGAAAAGCACCTGTCTCACTGGCCTGAGGAAGCCGAGGACAGCGCCCAGAGTCACCACGGCTCCTGGGGAGGAGGGCGCCAGGGAAGGGCAACCCCAGGTTATGTGTGAAATCAGCCCCGGTCTCGTGCTGACCCCTGAGCTATGGATGGGCGGAGCCAACTCAGCCGAACTGAAGCCAAGTGCATTTACACTGTCGGCAGCTACAACAGCGTGAGTCTCCGTAAATACAAATCTCCCCAAGACGAGAACGTTCGCATCCCTTGGAGGAATGTAACAGACTCCAGAAGGGCTCCAATGTAACATAATATCAGGGACACGAGGCAGAATTACCTAATGTATATAGGATGAGGGAAGTGTGACTCGTTTTGAAGGGAAAAGACAAGACCACCGAGGGAACCCAAGTGTTGGGGGCGGGGGTGGGCGCCTGGCTGGCTTAGTAGAGCACATGACTCTTGTTCTCATGGTTGTGAGTTCAAGCCCCACATGGGGCATGGAGCCTGTGTTTAAAAAAGTGTTGGAATCAGCAGACAGGGACTTTAAAGCAGTTATTACAATTATGCTCATCGAGGTAAAAGGAAAATCGTGTAATGTTGGAAAATAGAAGTCCCTGCATTGAGATTGGAAACAACCAAATGGACGTTCTAACACCAAAAACACAATATCAGCAAATTTTAAAATTCACCGGTAGACCTAAGAGCAGAAAGGGGATGAGCGATTCCATGCACTGGAAACACAGTAGTAGGAACTATTCAATCTAAGAGAGGAAAGGATCTTTTATTTTTTTTGTTTTGTTTTGTTTTGTTTTGTTTTTTGTTTTTAATGTTTTATTTATTTCTAGGAGAGAGAGAGAGAGAGAGACAGCGTGAGCAGGGGAGGGTCAGAGAGAGAGGGAGTCACAGACTGAAACAGGCTCCAGGCTCTGAGCCGGCAGTCAGCACAGAGCCCGACGCGGGGCTCGAACCCACTAACCGCGAGATCATGACCTAAGCGAAAGTCGGACGCTTAACCGACTAAGCCACCCAGGCGCCCCCTTTCTTTTCTTTTTTTTTTTTTTGTTTAAGGATCTTTTAAATAAAGTCTTGAAAGCAGCCTTACAAAAAAACAACATATTTCAATTAGGGGAACTGTGAGTCAGGTTTCTCATCAGAAATGAGAGGCCAAAGGCCAAAACATCCTCAAGATACCGCAAGGAAACGGTCAACCCCAGGATTCTATAACCAGTGAAGACCAGTCTTTTCCAGATAAACAGAGACTAAGAGAACTTGTCACCGGCAGAAATACACTATACAAAATGCTAATGGAAGTTCTTCAAGCTGTTCAAGCAAAAGCTCTGGCATTGCCTTGCGGAATCTGTAATGCGTGGGAATGTAAGCCCGAGCTACAAAATGCTGGGAAGGGTGGAGCGAGCGGCGGCCCGCATGGCGGGGGTCTCCGCCGCGTAAGTGGAGTGGTTCGGTGCTGACCCTGAACAGACCAGGAAGAGGAGGTAAGGATGTGTGTTTAATCCCTAGAGCAGTACTAAAGCTGAAATACCAAGAGAGAAAGCCCAAAGAATTCAAAAAGGCATTCAAATAATCCAACAGAAGGCAGGAGAGAGCAAAGAGGAAAGCACGTAAACTGATAGACCTGATGTGGCCATATCAATACTCCCACGAATTTGCCAGAAAGGGGAAGCAGGCGGTCATGGGGCAGGGAGCATCTGCTGCCACACAGCCGGGGGTCAACACCCGCACCAGCCAGGGGCCTCGGGCTCCGGGCGCAGGCATTTAAGCACGACGGACGATCTGGAGAATAAGAAGCGCCCAGGTACCCACTGTCATTTTGCTGCTTGCTTTCCCACTGGTCCCTTGCAGTGTTCTAGTTCATTCCGGCCAAGTGCTGTCCATGCTGTTGCGCGGCTACAGCAGGCCTGAGACCCTTCCGACTGCTGTCATACCGTCTCGAGTGGTTGGATGCTTGTGCGCGGCCGCTGCTAAGGGAGGACTCCCGGGAAGGCAGTCGCCAGCATGGATCTCGTGCAGCCTTTGCTTGACAAGCTGTGGCCAAATCTCTCTCCAAAGTGATGGATCCCGGCTACCTTGCCCTGGTCTTTCAGGACAAGGGCCATTCCCCTGAATCTCCACTTTACAAGCTGGGACTCCCAGGAGGAGCAGCCTGTGTCTGGGCCGGTCACGTAGGAGAGGCCGCAAGGGAAGCATTTGGCCGTTCCCTGGGTAGGAGCCCCGCTATGTTAATTATAGGCTTTTTATGCCAGGCAGGGTGTTAGGCCCTGGGGCAGCTCTGCCAAGGTGAAGCTTCACTTTGATCTTAGCCTGAGGTGCTCTCCCAGATGTCATCTGCCTCCTTGAGGGCAGGGACGCGGTCCACCTCCTTACCAACTCCTGTTCCCAGGGACTCCTCATGGTGATGCTTCTGAGTAAGTTAAAGATCACTCATTCGTTCGGTGAACAGATTGAGCTTCTAGAACATACTTCCTCCAATAGGGATGAAGCGAGGAGAAAGCACCAAAAAAAGAAAAAAAAATCCTACCCTCAGGGGACCTGGCTGGTTCTGTCTTAGAGCCTGCAACTCGTGATCTCAGGGTTGTGAGTTCAAGCCCCATGCTGGGTGTCGAGATAACTTTAGAATCTCTAGGGATGCCTGAGTGGCTCAGTCGGTTGAGCCTCAGACTTCAGGTCAGGTCATGATCTCGTAGCTGGTGACTTCGAGTCTGGCATGGGGCTCGCTGCTGTCAGTCTGTCAGCGCAGAGCCTGCTTCCGATCCCCTGTCCCCCCTCTCTCTGCCTCTCCCTCACTTGCAGTGTCTCCAGAAAATATTTTAAGTAATAATAAAATCTTAAAAAAAAAAACAACCCTGCCCTCCTTGTGGCTTTGCTTTTAATGGGATGCATGAAGGCTGGGTACATACTTTTAGCACCCATGCTTAGTCTCCCTTTGGCTACAGCTAGACAGATGTGCTCCGTGGACCGCCTCGCCTACCTCCTCCCAGCCTCCTCCAGAGGCCTGGACCAGAGCATGCAGGGGAGAAAAAAAGCAGAAAGCATTCACTGTTCCAATCTGATTTTATTGAAAAGGAAACATACAAAAATCATGTACAAAAAAAATTAACCAAACATGTACAGAAAATTCATTCCGGTATCTACAGCAGCGCATATACAGTATTTTACAGGCTGGGCCATCCCTCCCCGCTCCCAGACTCCTCCCTCTTCTGCGATTCCCCCCCTCCCTGACTCCCCGTCTTCCCCCCAGCGCTTTGCCCTGGGGACTAAGGCTGGGGCGGTTTCCGCCAAAATATCCCACCCCCCAAATGAATGCCAGTGATCACACGTGCTCTCTCTAAACCTATGCAATGGGATTGATGGGGGCGGGGGGTGGTCACGGGCAGAGCACAGGATTCACAGTCTGGGCCCCTTCTGGCCACCCCCAGATGAAGGTGAGGCAGGCACGCCCACCGCCCGCCGCCGGCTGGCTCAGGGAAGATGGCTGGGCGCCGGGCCGGGGCAGCCAACAGACCCACCCCCTTCTCTGGCTCCAGGAGGCTAGTGGTCACGTTTGGCTCATTTGCTCTTCACGGACCCCCTCCCCAGGAGGAGGGGGGGAAGCACCAGGGGCCTGAGGCCAGGCCCAAAGTGAAGGAGCACCGGGAGGGAGACGCCCCCCAGTGTCCCCCCTGCAGCTGGAACGGGCAGCCAGCACCAGCAGCCTTTCCTGAGATGGTGGTGGGCGGCAGAGGCGGGCGGCTCCGTCCCCACCCTCTCCGTCACCGCCGCCTTCAGACGCTCAGTCCGTCAGCCCTCTCTCCCCTGGCTTCTCAGCCAGGGACCCAGGAGTCCACATCTCCGTCAGTGCACCCAGGCGGGGCCGGGCCGGGGCTGGAGTGGCGCCCTGGCCTGCCCCTGGGACAGGCAGGGCTGGGAGTCCGGTATGCTACATGGTGCAGAAGAAGTCCCCCGCGCTGGCCAGGCCGTCAGGAGGTGGGGGGGTCCTGCCCCCCGAGGCCCCGACGTCCCCCGGGCGGGTGCAGGCACCTAATTGGGCTCCATCTCCGGGGCTCCGCGGGCCCTGGGTAAGGGCAGGAGTCCCATGATGAGATTGTACAGGACCCTCCAGGGTGAGGGGCGGTGTCGCTGCTGCTCTTCTTGTCTCTAAGGGGAGAGAGAGAAGGGGAGGTTGGAGTGGGCTAGTGGAGGGGCGTTGGGTGGTTAGGCCCAAGGGCAGCGAGGGGGGGAGGCACAGCCCTAAGAGCGATCTACCTTCCGAACCCGCTCTCAGAGGTGGGTACTGTTATCGTTAATTGGGCCCAAGTCCCAGTTCCTCCACCACCTGGGCTCACGTCGTCGCATCAAGGGACCGTGGCATCCTCATCAGACCAGCATGGAGAGGATGCAGATGGAATGCCCTCAGCACAGTGCCCGCACGGAGCAAGGCTTCCCCTCGTCTCCAGTTTCCAGAAAGTCACCAAAGTCAGCCAGGGCTGGGAGTGGGAGAGAAGGGAGCTGGGAGCCCGCGGTCTCAGCAATTCTAGAACAATCTGTAAAAGGACGAGAACTGGGAACCACCACAGTTCACACTCTGTGCGGAGGCTGCGTGGAAGTATATCCAGGCCAAGTTAACACCTGCCCTCCTCCGGCAACAGGACGAAGGCTTGGGGAAGCCTCCAGAACCCTCTCAGTTCCAGACTGCTAGCAAAGCAGGAACGAAAGACACTGGACAGAAGAAAAGAGTCCCCATGGGTAAAAAAAAAATTTATTTATTTACTTCTGAGAGAGAGAGAGACAGCGTGAGCAGGGAAGGGTCAGAGAGAGACGGAGATACAGAATCTGAAATAGGCTCCAGGCTCTGAGCTGTCAGCACAGAGCCCGACGCGGGGCTCGAACCTACGAACCGAGAGATCATGACCTGAGCCAAAGTCAGACGCTTAACCGACTGAGTCACCCAGGCGCCACCCCCGCGGGTAAAAATTAAAGGTGAGCTGTAGCACTCTCCCGCCCCTATCCTGAGTGCACGGCTGGGCCCTGGGCCCTGTGCTGAAAAGCAGGACCCACCCTAGTCTCATCCCCAGGGAAAGAGGAGAAGCCCATCTTACAGATGAGGACAAGGTCAGATAAGCCATCCTAACCATTCCAGTGGTGCCAGGGTGTGGGATGCCTTGCACCAGCCCCTGCCCCCTCATTACTCTCTCCTGCAGCCAGGAGGTAGCAAGGGGGGCACATCAGAATGACATTAGTCAATAAGCCTGCCAAAGGCACACTGCTGCAGGGTGCCACCTGGCACAGACCTCTCAGTGAGCAAGCTAGCAATCGTCCAGTAGGGCCGAGGAGGGCGCGGCACCCGGTCTCCACTCTGGAGCTACACACAGGTGCACTGCAGACAGGCAACATTTGGAAGAGACCAAAAAAGCTGCCGCCGCCGCCACCACCAAAAAGCCAATACAATTTGAAACATTTTTAAAAATCGCAAATATCCACCAATGAGAAACGAACAAGGCTGCTATACGATCCGGTAGAATGTTACATAGCCGCGAAAATGTATGAATAAAAGCTGCTTTGCCCACAGGGGCGGATCTCCAAGCACAATGCCGGGAGGGGAAAGTTCGGAGAGGAACACACCGTAGCGTGTACACTAAGCCAAAGGCATCCCACCCAACCTAAGCACTGTTTTGTGGCCCGATAAACATGTAGTGAAAGAATGAGCGCCCGCGGGGTCACGGGACACGCCAACTTGAGAGGTTTCCTTCGGAAAGGGCGAGAAGAGGGTCAGGGAAAGGAACAAGGGGCTTCACAACATCCGGGTTTTGTTTTTCTTTCAACAAGCAAGCAGTGCGGGTGTAACGTTCAGATTGGACAGAGCCGGGTGGTGGGCGCGCTGATTTTTGTTATTCTCTAGTCTACGTAGGCTTCAAAGACTTCGTCTCAGCGGCCGAGGTGTGGGCTTGGGGGCGGGGCCTCCCGCGGGGCGGGGCTCCAGGGCCCGCCCCCGGCCGCCCGGGAAGCGGGGTGACGCGCCGCCGGCCGCGCGCCGGCGGGTGGGAGGGGCGGGCGCGGCCGCGCCGCCGCTGCTGACTCACCGGCTATAAATAGCCCGGGATATATGAGCCGCTCCGCCGAGCGCCGCCCTCAGTCCCCGCGGCCGCGGGGCCCGGGCGCGCCGCGGCGCTCGAGGCGGCGCAGGCCCTCGCCCGCGCTGTGCCAGCCGCGGCGCGGGCCCTTCGGCGGGTCCGCGGGCCCCGCCGCCCCTCCCTCCCGCCTGTCCCCAGCGCGACCCCGCCGCGCCGGGCAGCAGCTGCCGCACATCTGGCGGGGCGGCCCGCAGCCCCCCTCCCGGGCGGGAAGTCCCACCTGCCGTCTACCCCTCCCCCCAGCACTCACCCGCCGCTCGTACAGCGCGTTGAGGTCGTCCGCCATCCGCCGCAGCTGGGCCCCGATCTCCCGGGCCCACTGCTCCTCCTCCCCCCGGACTCCCGGGGCTGCCTGGGTGGGGCCGCCCGCCAGGGCCCCCGGGGCGCTGGGCACCGGCGATTCCAGGTGCTGCTCCGCCGGCGAGAGTGAGGGCTGAGGACCTGGGGAAAGCCGGGGGCGGGGGGGAGGGGGCATGATCAGCACCCACCACCCCTTTAGGCCCTGAGGTGTTCCCGAGGGACCCGTTAGCCAGGGCCCGCGTCTCCCGTCTCCAAGCCTCCCGATTTCCTTTCTACTCCCCGCCTCATTTCTAGCGGTTCTGTTTTCCCCTTGTAAAGTCAGGCTTCGCAGCTTCTACTCCCCGGGCCACCAGAAAGCAAGAAGACTCGGTCGGGAGGAGGGCTCTCTGGGGGCGACCTGTCTAGCCAGCTAGCACCCCCGCTACCCACGTTAGTCTGGAAGTCCTGCCTCTAATCCGATCTAACTCTTCCAAAACAGGACCAAATTTTGCCTGCTCCATTTAACAGATGGGGAAACTAAGGCCCACCGTAAGAAGTGGCCCAAGGTCATATAGGGATAAGGCGACTTGACTACACCCAGTCACAAGCCTCAGGTCTCCTGCCCTCTTGTGTCCAACCACAGTGAAGCCACACCCCCGGATGTGGCAGGGGCATGGAGACCAGAAGGCCAGACTGGCTGCCTCCGAGCCCGGGTCTGGGGGGCGGGGTGGCTGAGATTCGGGAGATGCCTTCCTGCCCCACCCCCTTCTGAGCAGCCCCGAAGTCTCTTCCTCCCTCGTGCCACGCCAGGTCCTGGTGTGAGGGATCTCTAAGGCCTAAGATCGGGGCCTCAGTTTCCACACCTGCGACTGTGGGCTTGAAATCGGGTTCCCTCTTGCCCCCGCTGCCGGGGAACTCAGCCGGGGAAGTTCTCTCTCCCCGGACCTCCCTGAGCTTCAGGGGAGTCTTCCCTGCCACCGAGTGTGCTCCCTTTGGCTGGGGCTAGCAGGGCACCAGAGGGTTAACAGCCCACCCAGCAGGGGACCTTTAACCCTTCCTTCCCCAAGACTCACTTTCCCACTCTCGCCTCCCCCACCCCCACTTTCCCCCGCACAATGGCCCCTCCCCCTCTCCTTCCGCCACCCGGACTGCGGAGAGGGGCGGCCCTGGCCCGAGATGCAGATGAAGGCAAAAGGCCACCCTCCCCGAAGTCCTGAAGTGACAGTCCTCTCGCTTAGCCCACAGTCTCCCCGACCACGGTCCTCTGGGAGGTTAAGGAGACCCACACGCGGGGAGCGGGGGGCGGGGGGGGCGGTTGCTGGGAAACAGCGGCTGCCCCAGACCCGGAAAAGGCTGTGGGCTGCAACTCGGGGACTGCAGTCAGATTCCAGGAGGGACTTCCCACTCGGCCTCCCCCCGCCCCCAGCCTCCCACTCCGTCTTCCTGCTTCTTGCAACACAAAGACCACACTGGCCACACCCTCCCTGTGGCCCGGCCGGCTCGCCGCCTCCCCCCCCCCCCCACTCGCTCCCACTTCTCCAGTCCCTCGGCGGCGTCTCCTTCCCGGCTCCCAGCATCCCGGGGCGCCAGTGTGGGGCGGCACTCACCGTCGGGGCGCGGGCCTCGGGGCCGGCTGCGGGGACCCCCAGGCCAGCGGGGGCCCCCCAGGGCGGCGGTGACGGCGGGCGGGGCGGTGGGGGCGCAGAGGTAGGCGGCGGGCAGCAGGGCGGGGGCGGCGGGGGCGGCGGGCAGGCCGGGCTCACAGAGGCCGCAGGACACGGCCGAGGGCACCAGGCGGCTCAGGGGAAAGGGGCGCGGGCCGTCGCGGGCCAGGCCCTCTACGGGCTCCGGGGAGCTGCCCTCCTGGCGTGCTCGGGCCATGGCGCTCCCTGGGGCCTGCAGGACAGGGGGAGAGGGGCGCGGTCAGCAGGCAAGTGCAGAGGACACCAGGGCCCCCACAATACACACATCCTACCTGGGGGACAGGGACGTCCCCACTCCTGCACGCGGCCATCAGCACACGGGGGCTGGGGGGGCCAGGGAAGCCCAGGGATACAGGGCCCGGATGGGGGACTGTAGGTGTGCGCGATGGCCCCACAAGACACACACCCACCCAGGGGCTGACGCCGGGCGCCTGGCTGGTGGGGACAGCCTCGGGCGCACGTGGTGATGGGCACACACGAGGGGCAAAGGAGGCACAGTTGGGCCCTCACAGCAAGTCCAAGGGCTCACAGGGGACCCAGATGGAGGAGTCTCTGGGGTGTGTGTGTGTGTATGAGAGCTGGCGGCCTCACAGCACAAACTCACCCAGCCTGGGACTCACCCGGGCCACCGGCCTCGTGCGGCTAACTTCCGCAACACGGTGACAGGCACACAACCAAGCACACACAGGGACGTGGGGACTCATGCAGGACCCAAATGGAAAAGGAGGCCCCTGGGGCTGTGCGAAGGGCCCACGGCGCACACACAGGACTCACTCCGGATCGGCCAACCTGACCTCCTCCCCCCTCAGCTCCCGTTTGCACAGAAACAGCGAGATGGCTCCAGTCTTGGCCACGGCCACCCAGCGCAGGACGCGCACACGCCAACCACAACGTGGACACACACAGGCACGCAGACCACCAGGAGTAGACACACAATGCACACTGGCTGGTGGGACCCGTCCCCTCCATCCCTGTGCCCACACACACACAAACCATCAGAGCCTCACACACTGCCCGACTGTTGTTATGCTCGTGGACACACACATACACAATGCAGCCATCGCAAACACAGAAACACACTAGACAGGCACTGTCAGACTTCGCAAATACACATGCCCCTCCCCACACACATATGCACCCGGGAGGTAAGCCCTACACACCCATCAACATGAAACAGACATCCTCGGCCACAAGCAGCCCAACACAACCGAAACACGCCCCCTTGTCACCAACTCTCAGCCCCCAGGACACATGTCCCCAGACCCAGAAGCGTCACCACACACACCGGCCACGGCACACGGGTGCAGGAGAGCAGCCATCAACTCAGCCTCCTCCACCAACTGTCAGCCCCGGACACACGCGCGCACGCACACACCACCGCTAACTCTAATCCCACCCAGCCCGGACGGCGCACCTAAAGCACCCACAGAAAACACTGGTCTCACGTGACCGACATAAACACTACACAGACGCAGCCCACATGACACACATGAGCCAGCCGATCAGAGAGAGAAGCCCCTCAGACCCAACACACACACGGGCTCAGACACAGCCCCATCCAAGAGGCTGCCAGCAACTCGCACTGACTGCACTGCTCAGACCCCACAGAGCTGAGATCCTCAATTCCCAGACACGGATGCCAGACACACAAGCCAAACACAGACCGGAGACAGCCCCCCGCCACACACACACACACACACACACACACACACACACACACACACACCCTGCATAGAACTCACGCACGCACCTGGACGGAACACAGTCGCGGCATTCAGCTCCCGCCCCATCACAAGCGCCGAGCTGAAATAGAAGCCCCGGGAGATCAACACAGTCACCGACGGGCCACACGGTCAAGGCACACGAGCGCGTGCAAGCACAGCACATGGAGCGAGACACACGCAGGTCGACCCACAAGCATAGCTCACTCCAGCAGCACGCAGACACTCCATCCACACAGCGTAGCCCACGCAGGCGACGCGGACCCACGGGATCACCCGCACACAGCGCGCGCGCACACAACTCTCACGGAGAACACACACACACACACAGGTACACCACACATAAACAACACCCACCCCTCGGGCATGGCGCACACAGGCAGAACCTCGCAGAAATACACACGGGGACTCAAGCCCACACCGCGACGGGCCGCAGCCCCCACACTGCCCTGGACGGACACCACCACTCCCTGCAGACCCCAGCACAAACTCGGAGACAGACACACGCACACACCCAGGCGAGACACCTGCAGATCCACAACCCCGCACACGCGCGCTCCCACGGCGGGCCCAGACTCCCCCTCCGCTGTCACAGGCCCCCCCCACCCCGCCGCCGCCACGTGCGCCCGCCCCGCCCGCCAGGCGAGCGCGGGGCCAATAACCGGCTGTTGCTGGGGCGCAGCCCCCGCCCGTAGGAGCCGCAGACTCCACGGCCCGCGTGCCGCCCCCTGTCGCCGCCCCCAGCGGGCGCGCGCCTGGGGTGTGGCCGCCCCTACAAGCCGGCCCCCCCCCCGCCCCTCCCGGACTGCGGGGGCCGGGGCAGTCGGGGTCGACTCACTTCCCCGGGCCCGCACTGGCCGCCAGGGGGCGCTGCCGAGCCCGCACCCCATTGTTTGTAAACAAACCCGCCAGACCGCCGAGGCACCTGCGCTCCCGGACCCTCAGCGCCTCCCGCGCAGCGCCCCCGGCCCCCGGTCGCAGGTGGGGTGGACGGTGGGGAGAGAGGGAGGCACGCTGTGGGGATGCGGCGCGCCCCCACTGCTCTCCCGAGCGCACTCCTGCCACCTCCTCCAGGGAGCCCACCCGGCCTGGCCAATCGCGGCCAGCGAGGACTCGGGGTGCGCACACTCACCCCGGGGGCATGAACACGCCGGAGGGGGCGGTGATGGGGGGCGGGCGGCTTCCTTCAGGAGGACGCGCCCGCCGAGCGCCGCTCGCTGCGGCGGCTGCTGCTGCTGCTGCTTGCTGCTGCGGCTGCTGCTGCGGCTGCTGCTACTGCTGCTCTAACTGCAGTGGCGGCTGCTGTTGCCGGAGCTGCCGCCGCTCCCGCTCGGGCTGCAGGCGCGTCCGCGTCGTGGCCGCCGCTGCCGATTTTGCCGCCGCCGCCGCCGCCGCCGCCGCCAGGCGCCCGCTCGCATGTGGCTCGCGCCGCGTCTCAGGCCGCCCGGCGGATCCCCGGCCCGCTCGGCGGCCGCCCCGCCCCGCCCCCGCCCGGCGGGTCCCACGCCCCGCCCCCGCGTGACGCCACGGCCCCGCCCGCCCGCCCGCCCGCCGCGGACAAGTCGGGACTTGCAGGCGCGCGCCGCGCCCCCTACCTCCGCGCGGGGGTTTCCCTGCAGCCGGGGGCGGGGCGGGGCCCGGCCCCGGGCGAGGGGGAGCGGCGAGGCGCGCGGACGGGGGCCGCCCAGACAGCAGGACAGCCGGACTCCCACGCTGACACACTGACACACTGACTGAGACCCACAGACACGCGCCCGGAGACTCGTACGCGGACTGACCGACTGGCGCTCCGGGGTACACAAAGTCACGTGCTGACGGGGCCACGGGGACAAGCCGCCTCGCAGGCACACGGCCACGCTCGCACAAACGCACACCCCACGACAGGGGCGTGGATGTGCAAACTCCCACGCCGGCTGGGGCGCACACTCCCACGCCCAGACGCAGACACACAGGCCGACGCGCCCGGGAGGGTCACAGGGACACGCAGTCCGCCGCGATGGAGGGGCTTGGGTCGCACAAACACCCACGCTGATGGACACATCCAGACCCACAAACTGTGCTCACAGACGTCCCCACGGAGCAGGCACCCCCCCACCCACACACACCCCCACACACTCACAGGCTGAGAGCTTCTCAGGAAATACACACGCTTCCTGGTAGGCGCCGCTGGAAACACACACACACACACCTGTCACAGGGACACCTGGACACAGCATGATCTAGGTGACACTCCCACTCCCCCAGGGACACATGCAAGCACCGGCACCAGTTCCCAGCTGGCTTGTTACAACTGTCAGAAATGGACCTTCACAGACATAGACCGAGTCAGACATCAACAAAAATTGACCCCCCATACGGTCACAAAGTCACACCTGTAACAGGTTCCCCGGTAACTGGCCCAGTGACAGGACTCACTCTGGAGCATGCACACCTGGCCACACTTGCCACAGATCTGACGGGGCACCCAGGGCAAGAAGGAAGCCCCAAGCACCGAACGGGGACATGCCCGGGCAGCCCCAGCACTGACGTACACCCCTGCCTTCTGGCTTTCGCTTCCCTTTCTCAGTTTCTCTTTGTCACTCTTTCCCTCTCTTGGACTTGGTGACCCCATATCCTTCCCTCCCCCCAGGGCTCTGAAGCTCAGTCTCCTCTACACCTTTAGTTCCCTCTGTGTCACACCTTGTCGCTAGAGGTCCAGTGGCCTCTGAGTGCCCAGCCCTGGGCTGGCTGAGAAGGGGTGCCAGACCCGAGCAAAGGGGGGCTCCTCCCGACTCTCAAATGTGGCTCCCCCAGGGGGGGGCCAGATCCCTCTGTTTCCCCAGAGAAACAGGAAATGCACATCTCCTGTGAAGTCTCCAGACTTTAAATATTGGGGTGTTGGGGGGCGCCTGGCTGGCTCAGTCCAAAGAGCATGCGACTCTTAAGCTCCAGGTCATGAATTCAGGTCCCACCCTGGATGTAGAGCTAACTTACTTACAAAATAAATAAATATTGGGGACTAATTCAGCCTCCCTCCCTCCTTCCCTTCCCTCATTCATTCACCTCCCTTTTCTTCCTTCCTTTCAGTGTTTTTAAACCTGTGGGTCATGAGCAAACCATGGATTGCGAAATTACTTCTGTGGATCTTACTGTTTTTTACTGAATTTTATTGAGCTGTACTTACACGTCATTAACTTCACTCCTTTTAGGCATAAGGTTTGGTGAGTTGGGATAAATGTATGGTATGTGTGTGAATGTGCATACGCTGCCACCACCATCGAGATTGAGAACACTTCTTTTTTTATTATTTATTTTTTTGAGCTTATTTATTTTGAGAAGAGAAGAGAGCATGCGCACGAGCAGAGAGAGGAAGAGAGAGAGAATTCCAAGCGGGCTCCAAACCTCCGTGAAGAGCCCAACGCAGGGCTCGAAGTCACAAACCGCGAGAAGAGATCATGACCAAACCAAGAGTTGGATGGTTAACCCGCTGAGCCCCCCAGACAGGCACCCCAAGATCTGGAACACGTCTCTCACCCAGAATACTTTCCCGGTGCCTCTTTATAGTCAAACCCTTGACCTGTGACTCGAGTGGCTCATGACCAGATGCAAAAAAAAAAAAAAAAAAGATTATCATTTAAAAATATCATCAAGTCGGGGCGCCTGGGTGGCTTAGTCGGTTAAGCGGCCGACTTTCACTTAGGTCATGATCTTGCGGTTCGTGGGTTCGAGCCCCGCGTCGGGCTCTGTGCTGACTGCCAGCTCAGAGCCTGGAGCCTGTTTCAGTCTGTGACTCCGTCTCTCTCTGACCCTCCCCTGTTCACACTGTCTCTCTCTCTCCTAGAAATTAAAAAAAAAAAAAATCATCAAGTCAAAGGAAAATGCCGTTTTGTGGAAAATGCCTGTATACCTACTGAAAACATACCAGGTCTCACCGAGCGTGTATTTGTGCCCATGAACCAAGTTTAAAGGTGTTTGAGGAAAGCTGCTTTAGGCCTTTATAAGATGAGATCATGCAGGAAAGTCAACTAACTGCGTGTCTGACACGCAGTGGGCACCTCATAAATGTTAGCTATTGTCACTAGTAATGCTAATTACTGCCGGTGTTTGCTCTGTGCCGGGCGGTGATGGGAGACAGCCCCGGCCCCGGGCTTGCTCACAGTCGATCCTTACTTACGATCTGTCCCCTCCAGCTGCCTAATCTAAGACTGGACGCCAGGAAGCCAAATGGGCCGGAATGTTCTGAGAAGAAAAAAAAATGAGTGTAGAGAATGGTGGGGAGAGGTGTGGGCCGAGAGTTTACCAGGCCATCAACATGGTCACCAGTTAAGATCCTTCCCACTGTCTAGTCCAGATCCTGTTCCAGATTCTGGCCTCCTAACACCCAGGACCACGGGGCTCAACCTCAGGAGCCATCGTTTAGATCAGTGAGACGAACGTGTCCAGTGTAAGGCAACAGGGAGTAGGGAGGACTGTGGCTAAGTGGAGCAGGTGCTTTCCTTCTAGAGGCGTACAAACTGCGATGGCAAAGAAAAAGGAAGATTGTGATTGGCTCCGAGGGCGGCCTTTTTTGAGGGCCCCCTACCCTAGGGGCCCAGGGAAGAAGCCCCAGCCTCCCCACCCTCATCTTCCAGACTACATTTCCCCACCTCCACCTCTACCTGGCCTCCTCAACCGACTGAGCCACCCAGGCGCCCCCTCACCTCTACCTGGCCTCCTGAGGGACCAAGGGACTCTGTCTTCTAAGTTCCTGGAAGAGCATGATGGGCCTCATCCCACCTCTGCCTCTGGTCCCTGCTCCCCTGGATAGGAGACCTCTGCTAGGGAAGTAGAGGTTAATAGAAATACAGACAGAGAGGGGCGCCTGGGTGGCTTAGTCGGTTAAGCGTCCGACTTTCACTTAGGTCATGATCTCGCGGTTCGTGGGTTCGAGCCCCACGTCGGGCTCTGTGCTGACTGCCAGCTCAGAGCCTGGAGCTTATTTCAGAGTCTGTGTCTCCCTCTCTCTCTGACCCTCCCCTGCTCACGCTGTCTCTTTCTCTCCTAGAAATAAATTAAAAAATAGTAAAAAAAAAAAAAAAAAAAGAAAAAAAAAAAAAAAAAAAAGAAATACAGACAGAGACAGGAAGACTCAGCTCAGGGAAGTGGAGAAAGTCAGAGCCTGAGGGAGGGGCCAGAGGGAGAGAAAAGGAGAGGGCCCAGGGGTGCGGTGGTCGACAGGGGCCAGGGCGGGCCAGGCTTGGCATGGACCGGGGTTTCTCAACCTCCTCTCTCTGTGGGGCCAAATAGGATTCCTTGTCATGGAGGCTGTCCTGAGATTTGTGTGGTCCTCCGCTCGATGCCCTTTGTGACAATCATAAAATGTGTCCACACGTGGTTGCCATGTATCCCCTGGGAGGCGGAATCACCCCTGTTTGAGAACCGTTGGCTCAGAGAAATCCGTCAGGCTCCCCACAGCGGCTGCCCATCCCCCCAGAGCCCGCTTGCAAGAACTCACCCAAGAGAATGGACTCTGGGTCTAGATGGCCTAGGTTAGAATCCCCGGCTGGGCCACGGGTTAGCTGTGTGGCCTTGGGCCAGTCGTGTGCTCTCTGAGCCTCAATTTCCTCATCCTTTTTAAAAATATTTTTTTTAATGTTTTATTTATTTCTGAGAGAGAGAGAGGCACCGTGAACAGGGGAGGGTCAGAGAGAGAGGGAGATACAGAATGTGAAACAGGCTCCAGGCTCTGAGCCAGCTGTCAGCACAGAGCCTGATGTGGGGCTCGAACCCACGAACTGTGAGATCATCACCTGAGCTGAAGTTGGACGTTTAACTGACTGAGTCACCCAGGCACCCCAATTTCCTCATCTTTGACTCAGGAGGGCACAGGCCCCTGCTAACAGGATTCTGAAGAGTGAGAAGGCCAATAAAAAATGAAGCTCTGGGGCCTAGTGGGTAGTTTGTGACACGTGTCCCCCATCATTCATACTGCCAGAATCCCAAACAAGGGTTTCAAGCTAAGGCTCTCAAGTTGGGGCAGGGGTCTCAACCCAGTGGTCTGCAGCCTGGCTACTAATGCACTTGGCTTGACCGGCACGGTTCCTCATCTTGAATATGGATGCTGCAGGGCGCCTGGCTGGCTCAGTCCTAGAGCAAGTGACTCTTGGTCTCCGGGTCCTGGGTTCGAGCCTGACCGTTGGGCAAAGACATTACTTAAAAAAAATAAAGATGATGAAAAAAACAAAAATAGCTGTGACCAAGAAGGCCTCTCGAAGGGACTTTCGACACAGTGAAGGGATAAAACACCCAGACTCTGGAGCCGGGCTGCCTGGGTTCAAATGATGACCTTGACCAAGTAGCTTCCTCTCGGATTCCTCTCTGGGCAAAGAGGGTCACCACGGGACCCAAAAGGGAATGCGGGAGTCACACGGGTTTCTGTTTGTAACGCACTCAGAATGGTGCCC